GGGGCGCGCGCCTGCCGTGCAGAACTGCTGAGCAGCCAGCAATACCCAGGCTCCCAGGGCTCACACACCGGCTGGGGCAAGGGAGGGCTCACCTCGGAACTGCTCTGGGGGGAACGCAGCCGTCCCGTGGCACGGTATCCCGCGTGGGAAGCTTGGCTGAAGGCACAACTACAGCCTGTCCCAGAGGGATGCAGCAGGCGAGCGCAGACCCCAGGAGCATGCACGCTGGGGGCTTGCACACAACCGCAGGCGTGTGGCAGTGGGACACCTCCGCCGAGCCCCCCGGGGCAGCTGGGGGGCGGGGGGGCCCCTGCCACTGGCATGGCTGCGGGGCAGTTGTGGCCACGGCGGTCCGTGAGGACCTGCTGCCCTCTCGTGGCATCGCCAGTGGATGGCTCTCGGGCAGGCAGTGGGCCACCACTGGCTCTGCTGCAGTCACCCCATGACCCCTCTGCGGGGACCTCCTGGGCTTCAGCCCTCAGGGAGCCCCATGCCCGGGAATGACGAGGCTGGCACCCCCAGTGCGTAACACCCCGAGTGCCAACATGAGATAATCTCCTGAACGTGCTGGTTTGTAACCCCTGTCCTCCCCACTATGTCCAGAGACCCCCACACTGGTGGCTGCCTGCCTGTCACTGCCCCCTGGCAGCCTCCCCCTGCAAGCCCCCCTCTCCCTGCTGCTGATGCTCAGACCCCTGCTCCCAGCTGATTAACGTAACACAATTAAACACAGAACCCTGGGGACTCCGAGTGCCCCAACACCCAGCCGCAAGGAATGGGCACAGAGCTGCACCGTGGTGCTTGTGGCCCCTGCCTGCCCACGGGAGCCCCCCTGCCCTGGGGCTGATCCCAAAGATACCAGCAGGGAGAAATCCGAAGGCAGACCACCTCCTCTGCCCGCAGACTGGCTCTGCAGTAACTTCAGCTTCAGGTGAGACATTCACAGACTTGAAAAGCAGTGATATTAAGAAAAAAAGCCAGGAGGGCTTTTAGAGATCACCGATAAACCGCTATAAAAGGGGACAGTGCAGGCATCACCAGTAAGCTCGTTTTATTAAAGGAACCAGCTCTGCAGAGCCCTGCACGGTCCCTGCTGCCACCCACTGCCCGCGCCAGCTCTCTCTGGATGAGCAGCTGAAGCCCTGCCCTGCTCACCCGACCCTCAGCAGCATCTCGCCCCCCTGCCTCTGAGCCACTGCAGCCCCTCAAGGATGGCTCCATGACCCCGAAATCGCTGCTGCTGCCCCCCACGGGCTGCGTATCGGCAGCTGGCTCCCTCCCTGCTCCAACGCACCCACATGCCCACTTCCCACGGGATGTCCAAGACCTACCAAGCCCTGCCGGCTGGATGGCCGCCAGCATGGGGCAGCCCCTCAGGACACGCCACTCTGCCAGGGGGTCTGGGTTCACAGCCTCCCCGTCTTTCCTCGTCATGGCACAGGGACCCATACTCCAACATGCTGGGTAACATCATCAGCTCATCATTATGACTTCTAACCAAATCCAGAGAATCCTTTGTTTTCTCTCCAGGACACATTAAAAGCTTATTTTCTTATTCCTACTGTTATTTTTTCATCATACTATTCATTTTCAGGTAGGCCCTCACAAAATCTGCCAGACCACCCTGGTTCAATATTAACGTCCACTTTTATTCACTGTAAAAATACATCAGGGGCCAAAAGAACATTTCCCTCGTGATGCCAGGAGCTGGGAGAAAACCCCTGTCCCCTCCCTGGGCACAGCAACACCCCCAGGGAACCGCTGGGGCCCAGGGTGGTCCCACCGAGTTTTGCTGCTCAGGGCCTGAAGCACAGCATGAAAGAGGAGACCATAAATCTCACTCATTCTCTTTTGCAACCCTGGTCAGGCTTTGCATCTATCTGCTCTCTCTGCCTTTGAGTACATCCACTGCGCACATTGCTTATCCCTGCTGCTCCTCATCGCTGCTCAGGTGTAGATCCCTTCCAACTGAACTGTTCTATTCTATACTAAATAGAAAAAGGTAGAAAAAATACCAAAACCAGAAGGTGGCAAGAATTGCTGCATTATGTTAGTGCTTTCCTCGACATTGGTTGGTAGCTGCTGAAGCAAGCGAACAAACAACACTGGAAATGTGCTGCAGCTTTTGCTGAAATATCTGGGCATGCTCCCACAGCTGCTGGCATGGCGCCGGCTGTGCCACACTCCCCCCTGGGCATGTAGGCGGAGAGGCCACAGGCAGGGTTTAGGGAAACAGTTAATCTGAGGGCTCGCCTCCTCCCCAGGCAGCAAACTCCTCCGAGCCTCCTGACCTCCACCCGCCCACCAGCCTGCGAGCATCCCCTGCCTGCGGGACACTGCCTGCATGCCGCTGCGACCAGCAGTGCTGCCGACGGCACCGGAGCCATGGCACTGCTGGTGTGTGAAGGACATGGATCCCCCAGACCTGCCTGCCCAGGCCTGGGCTTCTCCCGGTTCCCACAGAGGCAGCCCCAAGCCCTGACATTTCCCAACCCGCTGTGCAGCCCCACGGGGTCATAGTAAAACTGGTCTCTCTGCCACCCCTAAACCATCTCACAATGGCCAAGTGAAAGCCGAGCTGGAGCAGGCCCACCGCTGCTGACGGCCCTTACAGCAGCACAACCCTGAGAAATGCCAGGGCAGAGCAGAGCCACGGTCCAGTGGCAAAACCCCTGCCTCCGGCTACTGCTGCCAGCCTGCAGGCAGCATGAGAGCCCGTCTGAAGGGGGGAGAGGTCAGAAACAAAGGCTGGAGGGACGAGGAGAAGGAGGAGGAGGAGGAGGAGGAGAAGGGGAGACGCAGGAGGGAAATGACTGATTCTATGATTAATGACTCCTAGTCGTTAGTTGTGCGGGGGTGTAATGGAGATGCCATCCTTTGCTACCTCCCAGGCGTGAGCGGAGGAGGCCAATGACCAGGCGACGCAAGCTCCCCTCTGATGGAGGGCAAATCCCGTAACTGCTCCATTCCCCGCGAACCGATGGTTTCCTGCCTGCGCCACAGCAGCTGCACTGACCGCTGCCCACCCCGGCAGAATCGGGGCTGCTGTGGGAAAGGAGTTAACAGCAACCAGGACGCGCCCTGAGCAAGTCCTTGCAGAAGCAACTGCAGCTGCCTATCTATTCACTGACGATATTTATGCGTGTCGCCCAATCAACTGATTACATTTGTTATTCCCTACCTAAAAATAGTCCTTTTTGTCCTGGGAGTCCACGGGCTGCTCCAACGCAGTTTATGAAATGGACCAAGAAAGACAAATTTTCAATCGGTGACGCAAAAGCTGACAGGCGCGCAGGACCCCATCACAGGGGAGGGAAGGGGAAAAGGGAGGGGGAAGGAAGGGGAAGGGGAAAGGGAAGGAAGGGGAAGGGAAGGCAGGGGAAGGGGCTGCTGGGGCAGCAGAACTGGCTGACCAGGGAAAGGGCACAGACCAACCTGTGTGCGATAAAACTGCATGTAATAAAACAAACAAACCAAAAGAAAGCAAGCGTGTTTATGTTTCCTTTTTTCGTTTTAACCCTCTTCGATCGAAGCAGCTACGGCACAAGCTGCGGGAGGGAGCCTGGCCGACCCAGGAGCTCGCTGGGCGGGCAGGTC